AGAGGAGAATGTGAGACACCCATATAAGAGAGAATAAATGAACCATTCCTTTAGATAACATACACTAGCAGCGACAGCAGTTTTATCTTATCGAATAACGAGTGGTACCGGTCAGTTCGTCGCTCACATTTCGGAATTGATGTTTTTAGTCACGGTGGTTTACGCTTGAAAGAGGCAACCACGTCCCAATTCGACTATCTCTCTCTCTAACCGTTTAGTACCGTGGAGGAGGTAGGCAGTGAGCCTTCCATTATGATTATACAGTGTGATCGGAAACAATCGCATTCGGTTAATATTCTCGTATTTTTTAGCGAATTCTAAGGTTATTTTTCCTGTTGCAAAATGTTATCCGAGGCTTAGTTGCTGAGATATAAAGAGCAATAGTTAGCCACTCACAGGCCAGATACAGAAAGTAGGCAGGGGCGACACAATTCACCGTCAGACACAGACAATACACATGTGACAATATTCATACATCTTAGTTTGTAAATTTTTTAATACTTGCGTCAATGTGATTGTACACAATAATAAATAAATTATCTTAATTTAGTTAAATATGATTATAACATAACATGTAAGGGTGAAATAGTCGATTGCGTTCGCACACGCGAACTTGACGGCAGATTGCGCGTAGATCCTCGTTTCGTAGGTTATTCAATTAAATCTTTGGTAGAAAATTTTCTCATAATTTTTCATAATTACTCATAGAATGAGCGCTTTCTCATAAATACTCATAAATATTCATAAATACTTGTAAAATACAATGAAAAAAAAAGTTTTTCTATATTATTTTTTCATAATTTTTAAGATTTTCTTTGGTGAGATTCGAACTTGAACCGAAGACATCTTTTGGATAATCGTCCGTCGCCTTAGACACTACGCCAATTCCTCATTTGATAAAAAATGCTTTGTATTGCCCACTTAAAGTTTAAGGAAGAAAAATCTTAAAGTTTGTTCGCTTTTTAAACCACAAAATATAGATGAAACCGTTTAGGGTATAAATAATGTAAGAAAGACCGGTACAATAATTCAAAATTAATTTTCTACCAGGGACTGTATGGAAAATCACTGCAATAAAACAGCAGGTAATGACATTTTTCCATTATGCTAATAAAATACTGTGCTTTTACATGTGCAAATTAATTTTGTCGATCGTCCAGTTCAGATTGTATTAAATTTTATCAAAATCGAAGCATAATATCCATTTAGCACAAATGTCCGAAATATATCCCAGAGACATCCCAGAGATATCACATTGTCTCTGGAACGTCTCTGGGATGTATTTCAGACATTTGGTGCTATATGGGATATATTTTCAAATAAACCATCA